GACAGAGATGTAAAACAAAGAGGCATTTAAGTCAACATGGAAGATATGAGATAGTCTAACATACAACTCTATTCTTAAGTGTGTTGTTATTTCAGCAATCAAACTTTGAATTTCTAAGAACTCTACTTTTATTTATGGCTAACTACTACTTATTTATTTTAATTTAAGGGATAGTCTTTCAGATCTCTTTGAGGGCCTTATATACATTTTAAAGTTATCATCAACTGTCCGATGTTATCAGTTTCCATGGAGGGTTACGTCTTCCACTTCTTGAGTTCATTCTTAATGTTACTGGTTTACCTTACATGTTTAGTGATCAGATTGAGATCTAGATCAGAGATCCTCAATTCTGCCTGTGCATCAGAATCACCCTGGGGTTGGGAGTGGGAAATACTACTACAATATACTGCCTGAGGCTCCACCAAAAGTTTAATTAGCCTGGGGTAGAAAGTAAGGTTTCTATTGGTGGTGGTGGTTTTAGCTCCCCAAGGTGACTCTAAGATTCTAGACCCGCCAACACCTGGAACGAGGGATATCATTGCTGATGTCAGATGGATCTTAGCTAAAAGCAAAGAATACCAGAAAGATGTTAATTTATGTTTTATTGATTATACTAAAGCATCCAATTGTGTGGATCATAACAAATTATGGATAACATTGAGAAGAATGGGAATTCCAGAACACTTGATTGTGCTCATGAGGAACCTGTACATAGATTAGGAGGCTGTTGTTCAAACAGAACAAGGGGATACTGCATGGTTTAAAATCAAGAAAGGAGTAAGTCAAGGTTGTATCCTTTCACCATACTTATTCAATCTGTATGCTGAGAAACAATCTGAGAAGCTGGATTACATGAAGAAGAATGTGGCATCAGAATTGGAAAAAGACTCATTAACAACCTGAGATATGCAGATAACACAATTTTGCTTGCTGAAAGTGAGGATGACTTGAAGCACTTACTGATGAAGATTAAAGACTACAGTCTGTAGTATGGATTATACCTCAATATAAAGAAAACAAAAATCCTCACAGCTGGTCCAATAAACAGCTTCATGATGAATGGAGAAAAGATTGAAATCGTCAAGGACTTCATATTACTTGGTTCTATAATCAGCACCAATGAAAGCAGCAGTCAAGACATCAGACAATGTATTGCACTGGGCAAATCTGCTGCAAAAGACCTCTTTCAAGTGATAAAGAGCAAAGATGTCTCCTTGAAGACTAAGGTGCGCTTAACCCAAGCCATGGTATTTTCAGTCGCCTCTTATGCATGTGAGAGCTGGACAATGAATAAGGACGACCCAAGAAGAGTTGATGATTTTGAGCTGTGGTGCTGGAGAAAATGCTAAGAGTACCACGGACTGCTAAGAGTACCAAGGACTAACAGATCTGTCCTGGAAGAAGTGCATCCGGAATGCTCCTTGGAAGCAAGAATGGCCAGACTTTGTCTCACCTACTTTGGTCATGATGTCAGAAGGAACTATACCCTGGCGAAGGATATCATGTTTGGAAAAGTGGAGGGTCGGTGAAGAAGGGGAAGGCCCTCAACAAGATGGACTGATGCAGTGGCTACAATGACGGGCTCAGGTATACCAAGGGTTGTGAGGCTGGCACAGGACCGGCGGGCAATGTTTTGTTTTGCTGTGCATAGGGTCGCTATGAGTCGGAGGCAACTCAAGGCACCTAACAATAACAACAGAACTGATATCAAGTGATCATTATTGCAAGAATGTAGTGTGTAGAGGTAGAAGGTGTGGAATAAAGGGAGTAGGTGCCTCAGGGCATGTTTTCCTTCAAAGGTGGGTTTCTCACACTGCAAGTTTCCAGACAAAGTGCACTAGAATTGCCAGAAGTGCATCTTTAAAATGCAAATTCCTGAGTCCTATCCAATCCTAAGAGGGAGGCTGGGCAATCTACCTCTGTAGTGATACCGCCTGGGAAACCCAAAGAGGGGTCACTATGAGTCGGGGTGGACTCGAGGACACATAACAACAACAACAACATCCAATCCTACAACATTTTCTCTATGGATGAGGCTCCCCACCTTCAAAGTTTAAGAACCCCAGAAAGTGGTAGTCATTATTCTTTTGACTGCAGAGGTTCCCAAATCCTCTTAGAAACCACCAGTTATTTCCAGGACAGCCCTGTTTCTCAGGCCTTAACACTCACCCTGGAAGTCTCTTACTCCTGAAGTTAGCTGCTCAGACAGGAGGGGACAGATACAGCTGTTTCAATCTTGACATGACTGCCCAAGGCCTGTCGTATCTTACTCTGATTTTAAGGTTAGTATTATGGATTTCTCCTGGGAAATGTCCCTTTGGAAGGATCTCTTTCGTGAGTTCCCCAATAGGTCTAATTCTATCTGCATTATAAAGCAGTGAATGTTCTCAGTGTTCTAGTCTGCTGATGAGCTGCCCAGACCTTCCTGTAATCCTTAGCATTTACTCTTATTTGCATGTATCTTTTGACATCTCAATGGAATTTCAGGGAGAAAGGAGGTAAATGTATTATTATGTCACACTAAAAGGAGCTCTGGTGATGTAGTGCCTAAGCATTTAACTGCTAACCAGAAGGCTGGCAGTTCAAACCCACCAGCCACTCCTCAGAAGGAAGACTGGGCAATCTACTTCTGCAGTGATACTGCCTCGGAAACCGAAGGAGGCTATGAGTTAGATCCGACTTGGCAGTGAGTTTGGTTTTTGTTTTTTTGGTATCACGCTAAAACATACTATTCTCTGGCTCTAGAAAAAAAAAAATTAAATATCTCTTTCACAACTCACAGAGTTGATTTTAGGTGCTTTTATCCCTTCTATGCAGTTCAACTCTCCCCTCTACATTATGCCTGTGTACTGCCTTTCACATGCTGCCCCTCCTCTGATGCCCCCTAGGCTCATGGCAAAGCCTCCTGAGGGCAGCCAGGCAGAGCGCTTGCATTATCTGGGGCTACTAACTCTATTGATGTGAATATTTCAGGTTGCAACTCTATTGATCTGAACAGTTCAGACAGGTGTGAGAAAATTCCTTGAAATAGTAAAAACAACGGAATTACATTGTTTCTCCATGATCTATCTCTGCCTGCTACATCTTTAGATCCTTAAATCCGTTCTGCTTTTCTCTCTAGGATATTTAATCACATTATTTTAGATCAACTCTGTGTGTGTGTGTGTGTGGGGGGGGGTGTTTAAATGAAAAAATATCAATCTATACAAATATTTGTCAAAAGAAGTAAAGAAGATACTCCCCACACTGGATCCCCATGTGATGAAAACAAAAACATAGAAAGGGAAATAAATTATACATTCCATAGTCTCTATAAACAAGCTGATCTGATGCCAGAACCCATTCAACTTGAATTGGCCATGAGTATTATTCTAATGTTGATTTATAACCTGAGTCTCTTTACTATTCAAAGCAACACACAGCCTGGAGCGTTGGCATTAAAACAGCAGCCAAAATATTAGCATTATTCTTGCAAAATTCAACTAAATATTGGCATCAAAAGATTCTGAGAAAATAAGGCATTTCAGTATACTCTAAGATGGAACAAAATCTAAAACTGGATTCACATATTTAAATGGAATGTTTCAGTGTGCATTTTAACTGGAGGATTGCTAGCACAGATTGATGGAAAAAAGGAGAAAAAAAAGACATAAATCCTTTCATTTTAGGGCTCTGAAAGAACCGGGAAGCACATGTGGTGTTACAAACAGTGCTGTGGCCACTTCTGAAAAATACCATCTGCCACAGACTCCCTTACTTTGATTATTAATTTTTAAATTTTACTTAACACACTTGTTAACATCACAAGTTACTAGAAATTTGGTATCTGTAAAAGTCCCCGAGTTAAAAAGTATTAACCCATTGCTGTCGAGTTGATTCCAACTCATAGTGATCCTATAGGTCAGAGTAGAACTGCCCCACAGGGTTTCCAAGGCTGTCAGTCTTTAAGGAAGCAGCATGACAGGTGGAGCAGTGGGTGGGTTCAAACTGCTAACCTTTGTTAGCAGCTGAGCTGTAACTACTGTGCCACCAGGGCTCCTTTTAAAAAGGATTACTACATATGAATTCTATTTAATGATTAATTTTCATTTTTAATCTCCTACATGCTCATGCTGGTCCAAATGGCCAGTCTATTTTCTCCCTCATAGTCTGTGGCCAAGAAGTTACTATAACTTTGTCCCTTGTCAGCTCTACTACATACCTGGAAATTCTTACAGAACATACAAATACACTTGTAGAAACATTGTCTACCAACCTTCTACATGTAGACCCAAATTTCTTAAGGATTAAAGAACAGTGTCCTCATTTCCATATACCTTACTACATCAAAATGCTCAGCGGCTAACCAACAGAAAGGTTGGCCAGCCTCTGGAATCCATCAGATGCTCCACAGGAGAAAAATGTGGCAATCTGCTTCCATAAAGTTTACAGCCTTGGAAATCCTATGGGGCAGCAGTACTACTCTGTCCTATAGGGCTGCTTGCTATGAGCTGGAATCAATTCGAAGGCAATGGGTTTTGTTTTGAGTTTTTACTATATCACAGTTATTCAATATGTTGTTAAATGGATGAATTTAGAGGCAACTTTTACACATATGGGGAGCTCTGGTGGTGTAGTGCCTAAGGCATCTGACTGCTGACCAGAAGGCTGGTAATTCAAACCCACCAGCCATTCCTCGGAAGGAAGACTGGGCAATTTACTTCTGTAGAGATACTGCCTCGGAAACCCAAGGAGGGGTCACTATGAATTGGATCTGACTCAATGGCAGTGAGTTTGGTTCTTTTAGTTTTACACATATAAAACAATTAAAGAGTAATATGAGATTGTATATGACCAAGGCTGTAAATTATATTTAATTATCTGTTAAGTTTAGAAATCAGTTGAAGTTAAAAGAGAGAAGAATAGAGCAATGTCAAGGTGTTTCCTACCTCCAAGGCTCTGAGTTTAGAAAAAATTTTAAGAGACACTTGCATAGATTATCCCTGAAAACTATAGCACACCTGCAGAAGCTCCATATCTTCGTGGTTTTCAGACCCAGGGGTATTCTCCATTAATATGGTGAACATCACTCTCACATTCATTTTCACCATATCCAGCTCACTGTGTAATTTTCCAATCTGCAGAGAGCAACATAAGCACAAGTCAGTATATGTGACACAGAAGAATGACTACCTTGTTTCCTGGTCCTGGAGGACATTTGCTGGAAGAGAAAATGTCTTAGCAAAATTTAGTATGTTCAAACTTACATAACTATACGTATGTGTAAGCGGTAGAGGGTCTGCAAAAAAAGGGGAAGACCCTCAACAAGATGGACTGACACAGTAGCTGTAAAAATGGCCTCAAAAATAGCAACAGTTATGAGGATGGTGCAGGATCACGCAGTGTTTTGTTCATATGTTCATATGTTTTGTTCAGTTATACATGGTTGCTATGAGTCAAAACGGACTCAGCAGCACCTAATACAACATACATAATTATTTTACAAATGTATAATCTGTTACCTACATAAAGGATTTGTAATCTCTTGTCATAAACACAAAAATATGCTATAGGAAAGTTAAAAATAAAGAAAAAGAAATCAGATTGGAACCAATATTGACAATGAAGACGTCTGGACTTCTTGGGAACCAATGGGAAAAGAAAAACAAACATTTTTTTTTCTTTTTAAAATAATTTTTGTGGTATTAAAAGAGAATCAAGAGTTAAACACTTTCTCTGGATTAAATTCTAAGAGGAATTAATCACATGAATTCATACATAAAGAATATGAAGAATAAGTCTTCAAAGCTATATCCTTGACAACAGGACAGAAATAAACTTCATATAATATTGCTATATGGACCCTTGATAAACAGTTGTAGACAAAGAGGTAAAAAGTCATTCAGTTAGCCCAGTTAGCACTATCACTTACTGAACTCTCTGAAATAGTAAATGGACAGGCCTGCCAGGAGAAAAGGAAATCAGCTGGTTGACACAAGGTCTGTCCACAGCCAAGCCTCCACAAAGCCATGAAAGCCAGCAGCCAAGCACTGCTATTAAGAGCTTAGGCTTGAGATTCAGACAGAATCTATGGGATTAATTCTCCTTAGGACTGAACCATAAGTCAAACAGGATCACTAAGCCTTAGCCTCCTCCTCTGTAAAATGAGGATAATAAAGTACCTACATCTTATAATGTGGTTAAGAAGAATAAATAAGCTGTATATAAAGTACTTAGAACTTAGAGAAAAAGTCATCAATAAATCCTGTTGCTGTTGTTACCTGTTCTGGGAGCAAGGTAATGGTCGAACTCTTGGGAGCAACTACAGAAGGAAGAGCTGGTGCAGTAGGAACAGATGTTGGTAGGCTAGATGAGATCTGAGCTGTCTGTCAATATGAAATAGGGAGATATTATTATCTGCATTAACAAAGCCACCCTAAGCCCAGTTTGTTATTCAAGTGACTCAAATACTTTCTCTCAACCCAAATCTTGAGTAGAGAGTATTCGCCAAGAGTAAATCATCCAGCATACAACCTGCCCATTATTTTGAGAAGAGTGCTAAAGCAAATGGCATGCCCAAAATAGAACAGATATATTGAATACCAGGTGGCGACTATTATGATTATTAACTGAATTACAATTTAATCAAATGTTTAGTAACATAAAATGGCTTTTACCACAGATCTACATGATAAACTGCAATGTAAAATTATTGCTGCCCCCTCTTTGGACTATTAAAAACAAAGGCTAAATCAATTCAAGTTTTTTTAAACTACAGTTGGCAAGTCATCTCCTTCTCCACCAATAACTGCCTCCCTGAGCCAATGCCACATTTCTGACCATGGTGGAGAGCCTGAAGCCCAGGGATCTAGGCCAGATACATCCTGACATTAATATGCACAGAAAAAACCTGGATATCTTGTTAAAAATGAGGATTTTGAGTAGTCTAGAGGGCAAAATACCTACATTTATAACAAGCTCCCACATTATACCTCAACTCCACCCACTCCTCGGAAGGAAGATGGGGCAATCTACTTCCGTAGTGATACTGCCTCAGAAACCCAAGGAGGGGTTGCTATGATTTGGGTCCGACTCGACGGCACATAACAACAACAACAACAACACACTTAATTAGCAAAGTATTAGGCTACTATCAGATTCTGCCTTAGAAGAAAGAAGAAAAGGGGTATGGTGAGTAGACTCATAGGTAGATGAGAGAAGAGATGGGCCAGGGGTTAATAGCCAGGAGCAGCTCGCACAGGTAAAAGAGTTAGTGTTCAAGACAGAACTTCCACAAAGTAGATTTCTGGTATAAACCTGAATTGCTTACTCCACCAAGACAGGTCTCACCAATCTGCAGAAGGGAAGAGCTAGTATTTCACATTATGGAAACCATAAAAGATACAACCTGAATTATAATCAGCTCCTCAAAATATTACAAGTTCAAAACCTTGAAAATTATCTGCAAACTTGAGAATGGATACACGTGGAATCCTAGAAACTCTCCCAGTAGCACAGCTATTAATAATAAACAAAAGTATTAAACTAGCATTTATGGTAGAACCTGTTATTTGGCCTGTCCAGCAACAACCCTTTCTTTTGAAAACTGCCCCTTCCGCTATTACATACAAATGATTCCCCTGGGAGCTGCTATGTTCTTACATGATATCAGTTGATTTGTTCAGAAATGGGAAACTGGTCCAGACCAATGTGTCTTTTCTCCAAGGTTTTTAGACTTGGAGTATGATAAAGCTAAAGCTATAACATGAAAATGTGGGAGCTGTTTCCACTATGTGGAAAATCCTATCTGCAATTACAGAGATGAAGCCAATGGCTAAAGAGAAGTAGACAAATAAAAGGCATCTGAATGCTTAGTTCTCTGTTTTGTTTCAACGGTACAGCTAATACCAACCTTTTCTTGGGTTGGTTATTATAAAAGATATCTTAATATCCTTCTAATGGTTTTCTCCTTTTGCTTAAGGGGGCTGGAACTAGGTTTGCCCTGTGCAATTCCTACCCTACATGGGTCAAGAAAAGACCTACCTCTCGTCGTGTTGTTTCAGCCTCTGCATCTGAGGGAGGAAACTGTACGCCTTTCTTAAGCAGGTCAAGATACACTTCTTTTACTTCACTTACATCCACACCTCCTGGGAAACCCTGTGACCAAGTCTAAACTCAAGAGATGGAAAGTTCCAGAGTTAAAACAGCAGCAAAAACAAAACACAATTCTTAAGCAGGTGACAGAAAATAAGAGATTAAGAATTATGTATCTTACTCAAAAAGGTAAAACTGGTTTTGAATGCCATTGACAAAATGTACATTTTCAAAGACTAAAATAATATTACAAAATCTTTTTTCACATCAAGCTCCCATGTTTCATTATCTTAATGAAATCCTGGGATAGATACTATTGATTGGTTTTTGTTGTACCAGATTCAGAATCACTAGATTCTAAAACAGCATCAGAAACTTTTTTGCCACGTAACCTTGACCTAGTCAGTTAACTACTCTAGGACCCAGTTTCCATAACTGTAAAATGAACATACACATACCTATCTTTTCTACCTCACACGGATAAAATAGAAAATGAGAGAAAAGTAGGGAAATGATTCCAAATTCTTTGGGGAAAAAAGGCACTATCCAATGCCAAGAAATTATTATTACACAGAGAAGAAAAGAGTAAGAATGCTTTTTGGCTAAATGCTAGGTTTCTAAAGGATCACTGAACTGATCAGAAAGTATGTAATTAAGTCCCTCATCTTACATGTTTACTACCATCCCATAAGGTACATAACAGACTTACCTTAATGAAATTCAAGATTTTATTCTGAATGTCTAATGGCAAAGTGTATCTGGGATTCAGCAGCTTGACTAGACTATCTTTCACAAATTCCTTCTTCACAATCAGAGACTGGAAACTCGGACCACAGTTCTGCATGCACATGTCAATAAGCTAAATTAGAAGAGAAATTGAACATTATACTTATCTGACAAAATATAAAGCAAAATAAAGATGTCTACCATTGTAATTAAAACAAAAATAATTTAGTATTGACTAAAATACAGGGCAAAGTGTTAGATTCTGGACATGTAAGGAAACATAAGGCATAATGTAATTGTCTCAGAGATAGACCTGTTCGAGAGTCAGGACACAATTATTAGAGCATTAATAGTCATATAGAGTAGTAAATGCTAAGTGTCAAATGGGAAATGCAAACAAAACACATAGACTATAGACAGGGTACCACCCATCCTAGTCTCCTCAGGGCAGTGGTAGTTCATGTCTGCTGTCCTGGCTTTATTATTGATGGTACCCCCTTTCACTCTCAAAAGTGTCCTGGTTTGTGTGATAATTTACATGGTCACCCTAGCTATAGACCTTTACAGGCAGGTACAATAGGTCTTAAGAAGACTTTGGAAAAGGCCATCATTTCAAAGATGGCTAAATGAAAATGAATATAGAGTTATGTTCTAGACAAATAAATGGTGTATATATATATATATATATATACACACACACA